CGAGCAATTAGTGTGAAATACACCGCCCTTTCCCCCTGCTGGTTTTTGGCCCTCTGTGTGTGGAAGGCCGTGCTGGGTGTTTGTGTCCATGTGTTGGTAGGAAACCTGCCTCGGGCGAAAGGCCGGGCCTGCCCTGTGGTGGACACAGCCTCTCCAGCAAAACCACCCCAGGGCACAGCAGAGTTCAGCAGCCAAGATGGTGGTGCGTCTGTGAGAACATATTTAAGAAAGGGTAAAAAACACTGCAGCGGTTGTGGGAGAGATGAGTGAGAAAACTGTGAGAGCAACAACTATGCAGACATTAAGGTCCGTGACGAAGGAGGGGAGGAGGTGCTGCAGGTGCTGCAGCAAAGTGGAGCAGCCTGTGGAGAAGACCATGGTGAGGCAGGCTGACCCCCTGCAGCCCATGGAGGCCTACAGTGGAGCAGGTCTTCTGGCAGAAGCTGTGACCTCATGGGGGACCCAGACTGAATCAGTCTTTTCCTCAAGGACTGCGCCCCGTGGAGAGGACCCACTCTGGAGCAGTTCTTGAAGAACTGCAGCCCGTGGGAGTTACCACACAGTGAAGCACAGAAACAGCATGAGGAGGAAAGAGGATCTGAGATGACTCTGTATATGGTGTCATTCAGAATGTAATTGGATTGGAGTTTCATAGGGCCACTGCTCTGGATCTCAGCAGGAGATCTAGTTAGGATTTTCCAGTATTGCCCACCCAACTCAGGTGATGACAAGCTTTATCCGAGCTATGGACGGGGCTCTCATGGAGCTCACTCTCCTGGCTGACTGAGAGCACTGTAAGTTGGAGCCTCTGGGAGCTGTAAACTCCCTGCTTCTTTGCATTGTCTGTCTCCAGTCTAGGAGGTGCTCAGGGAACAGAAATGGTGTAAGGAGTGAGTGCCCAGAATTCAGAGCAGCTGACTAGCTTATTTTGTTGGGAAAATCATCTACATACTGCCTCTGCAGAGATGAACTTTAATTAATGATAACTTTTCTCGTGCAGTTTGTAAAGTTTGGATTATTTCTGGAGCTAGTAGAAAGAAAAAATATTTCTTGCAGATTACCTCCTTAGCTGTTTAGTGTCTACACTAGAAAAAGGTGATAGTGAACCAAGTGATAACTATTTGAAGACTTCAAAACTAGAAGAAATTAACATTTCTGATCTCAATTAGCCTGCAATATTCACCCCTTTAGAAGTACTGGGAATAGAGATATATTGCCTGTGATTTTATTACATGCAGTTCAGTTTGAATGGAGAAATTGCATTGAATACTAGCAATTTGCAGTTTGGGCACTAGAGGGAGCATTGTGCTGCAGTAAAACTGACTAAAATCTGCATTTACAGATAGCACACCACAAATAGTGAAATTCTTCTGCGATGAACTTTTAAAAGGCTTATGCACAGATCGAGTCAAAGGCACATTGCTTTTAATACTGGTTTTACTTAGCCAATAGATTCACTGGCGTGGTGGCATTCTTCTGGCCGTTTAGGCATGTTATGTGTATGTACTGGAAACTACGAAAAGATTTTTCCAGAGGCGCACAAGGGAACACAAGACAGATAAACAGTCTACAAAAAATCACGAGTTGTAAGTATGGGAAATGTTTTTTAAAGTATGCAGAAACAGCCTATTGCGCTGGATGTGTGTTACTCTGGCACTGTATGAATCAGGACAAAATACCCTCACTACTAATTACACTTCTAAAGTTTGCCTGTTGCTTGAATGCAACTCAACACAAGAACAAATTTCCCAGCAGTGAGAGGCCCAGTGCAGTTGGCTGTGTATTGTAGAGCGAACATTACTGATCGTGATGTGTCTGTACTATGCTTGGTGGTAGAAGGAAGCTGTTTCCCAGGAGGGCAGAGCCAGTTTGTGATTGCTTTTCCTGAGGAAGTAATTGATTGAGCTCATAACCATCCCTGAGCTTTGGTTCAGACCGAACATTCAATATTTTGTTTACTGTTGCTATACTGTGGATTCTCCCACTTGGGAGAAGAGAGGGAAGTCTCCAAGACAAGAGCAGTGCTGGCAGCTGCAAGAGCCACCTGTCTGGCCCTACAACATGAGTGTGACACCTTTAAAAGTACAGTGCACAGAAGAGAGCCTTGCATAGTATAGCTAGCCAGTGTGCTACCTGCTGAATGTTATGTACCCTTACTTGCTCCCACATGTTTATCAGTGGCATTAGGGCTGGTTTCTGTATCACTTATTAAGTTGAGGATGTACTTTGTTAGGGTAGGGGAATGCATGCAAACTAACAGCAGAAATAGCCAGCTTAGTCAATTGTGCATATATTTCTGGAAACATCAATTCAGACTGGAAATACTCAGACATTTAGACAGAAACTAATGTGGTCATCCTTACACCACCAAATAGATTTGCATAATCCCTGATACACCAATCTAAAGCAGCATAGTTCTGTGTGCCTGGCTATAAACAACTCCTGGGAGAACTTGGTTTATTTTTGGTGCTACTTCCAGCTTCCTACATGAGCTCAAGCTGGCCATTTCAGTTCTTGCCTTTCAGGTTCCATAGTTTTCCATGTCCTGCTTTTTTTGAATGATGGGCCACTAAAGGAAACAACTCCGCTCTTGAATTTGGCTAGAAGTTAGTGGTTATGTGCCCTAAGTAAGATCAGACCCTGAGGTACTTCTATAGCATCATTTGTTCTTAGGTAGCTAACAACCCAGCCTTTTAGTGAATCAGGACCTTTTTTAGCTTCTTCATTTTTGTGCGTAGACTGGGATTAGAATCAGCAAAAGAGCTCACACTTCAAAACAATAAATAAAAATGGAGTTTCCTCCACAGATTTTTTTTTTTCTGGAAAATATATCAGAAAGTGCAGTGGCATGACAGTACATTACTTTTATGTTTTTAAAGTGAAATCTGTCTGTATTAAAAAGATCCAAAATACAAAGAACCACTCAGAATGGAAAGGGGTTTGATGGGTTCTCTTAACAGTCAGAAGTTATCTGTTCCAAAAGTCAGGCAGCTATCAGAAAATACTTGCATCAGCCTGAAGCAAGGTATGAGTGCAAAACAATACCACTGTTCACCACAGCAGGGAGATGTTGGGTGGAAGCTTGATGGACTAAGTGTCAAGCCACAAATTAGTATCAGGTGTCAAACTGAGTTTTGAATGAGTGAGCCACAGTGGGAGATCAATAGCAGGACATCCAGATTCCAAACTCAGAAAAAGGGTGTTTAAAGTGGCTGGAACTGGTAATGAAACAAGTGAGTCAAAAAGGAAAACCAAATCTACTTTAGTTTCTCTCTTAGTGAGCAGTGTGAACCAGCATGCATTTATCATTACTGACTCTTACTGTCATAGTAGGCTTTATACACCAGGAAAAGTATGCAAAAAACCTCAAGCAGTACCCTGTAATACTGAGTACGATTATGTTTTTTCCTGTTATGCTTCAATGCCTAAAGCAGCTAATTTCTTTTATAAGCAGTAAATTTTCATGTTGTGCACTAAACCAAATTTGTTTTATGTTCTAAAGTCATTCATTTGACTGCCAGATTAGATAATTTGGGTCTTTTTGGCTTTTATAAGCTTCCATGTGTTGCAAATAATATAGTCTTAATCCTATTGAAATATTTTCTACTGTCTACTGTAGATGGAAAGCACCTTTGAACCTTTTTTTCAGGGGGAATAAAATAATTGTTTGACCTGCTTTCCCTCTGTATTTGTTAATATTGCTGAAAATTCTGTTGTGATCATAAGGCTCCTCTTCAAGGGTTTTATTTTGCTTTTTAAGTGGTTTTGCTCATCGAGATTTGTAGAGGCCTCTTCACTGGGAACAAAGATTTCTCTACAAATGTGAGTGAAAGGGGCAAACAGATGTTTCTTGCCATGACCAGCTACCAGCTACTGAATCTGTGTTAAAAACTGTGGCACCCTTCACTGAACACTACAGACACATGGCCTACAACAGATGGTGCCTCCCCACAGCCTTAGTGTTGCAGAAGTCTCTGGGGTTTTGAATGTAGATGTTTTCTGCTGTGACCAAAGAGGTCTCACTTGCAGCCAGGCCATCATCCCCATTTCCCCTCTCACTCTCTCTCTCTCTGCAGCCATCCTCTGCCAGTGCAGAGTGGTCATTCAGAGGTCTCAGCCCTGAGCTGGTCACAAATATTCATCTCATACAAACCAACTGTATGGCCCAGCTCACTCTACTAATTACTATCTCAGTAAAAGTGGTTAGAGAAAACTACTTATTTTAATTAGGTATACAATTTTGTGTGGTAGAAACCCCTGCTGAGGAATTCTTCATCGCTTGCATATCATGTTTCTATTGATTCATCTGCAGGAATAGGAAATAGTATTATTTCCATTCTAATCTGCATTCTCTTGTGTTCTTTTACTTTTCCTTGAGCCTGCAGTAGTTAGTAAGTGAGGTTTTTCTTGCCATTGAATCCATTGTTTATCACCATACTGGGGCCAGTATTATTCAATATATTCA